TTTGGTATGGCGCGGCTGGATAAGAAGATTTGGGCTAGAATTAAAGGAGTTGCCGAGATAAAAGATCTGTTCTATCATCCGAAATAACCTTTGTTAAAGTCTTTTGGTCATCTGCTTTTGCTGGCTGGCAGGAGTTTTCCGCAAACAAAGAACGGCTAGTAAAGATGCCTTATGACGGAAGCTATCCTTTTGTTCGTGAATTAATCACGTCCATGGATAAATGTCAATATCGTGAAGTTACGAAGGAGCAGGGCGGTGCGCTGCCATTTGATAAAATACTGTGTAAGAAAAAAATTTGTTGCCGAGATTTCTATTTGAGTAAAGTGTCACTTTGCTTGTGCATCGGGACATCAGATCTAGCAAACCAGTACTTCGAAGGGACAGTTTGGCTATCAATCCGTCCTAACGGGATCAGTCTGATAACTTATTATTAGCCTGATGCTAGTCAACAGTCTTCAGATAAACTTGTGTATGGTTCACAGTCGTGTGATGTATCAAGACAGCGCCCGCGTTCACTTTTTGTTCCCACACCCTTTTGGATTACAGGTTAAAGCTACGTATAAGGACGGCTGTAGCGCGTACTGTTTCACTCAAACTCCAAAAAATGGCGAGAGAATAGCACGCCGCTCGTGAAAGTCGGCCACCCCGCATTATGACAGACCACGTACCCCAAACCTCATTCTAATGTCTGCCTTAGCGGTGATTCGGTTGTCTGCATCTCCTCTCCACATCGAATGGTTCGATAATGAGCGTGATAGGGAAAACAGCTGATATCACAAGTGAGAAACTCCGTGCGCCCCGCCGCCCCCTCCCCCCTTCATGCACGCAGGAAACCTTCAGTTCGGATGTCGGGTCCCAGATAGGCCAGAACGTTGACATTTATCTGCATTTTTTGTTTCACCAACGAGCTGCTTGCTGACGTAGTTGTCACTAATCAAGGCCCGTTTAACTCATCAAATCAAACGCGGGGCGCTGCCGTTACCGAAAGGAATCTCTCGGAATCAACGAGTAGCATTTTTGCTTTGTATATTCCCGTCAGGGCTTTCTCGCTGATTCCTTAATGAGATCTGCAGAAGAGTGTATATCACATTGTAAATAAAGTGTAGTTAGGTAAATTCAGCGTTTGATCCTACTAGAATGAGCTGAAGCGTCGGTTCGTAATCAGAGGAGAATTTAGAGGGGATACAGTCTATTTTCGCAAAAATTCCTCCCAAACACAGCGGGGGCCCGTGCTCGGGGTAAATATACATGGAGCGCAACCAATCGGGTCCGGTGTTTGAAACACATAAAAGGTCTGCCGTCAAAAGAGATTTTTCGAAATGTCGTTACCCCTAATTCCTCGACGGGAAGGTCATCACGATTTTTATGATTATAGGTACTGAAGCTGCCGCTCCCCCTCCCCCCGCAGTTCCTGACTAAGTGAAGTGAAAACGTAATGCAACGAAAGACTACTCTGTGAAATAGCTGGGTAGTAGTTCGAATTTCCTACAAACGTTGGTTGGAGACCTTGGTGTGGCGGATACGAGTTTGGTAATTACTTGTGTTACACCGTGGAAGCGGAGCATGGACGTCTACATACGCCCCCTATTATTATAGGAAAAAAGGCAGGAATTAATCCGCCCGGGAAACCGCCGCCAAACCGCCGCAAGAGCGCCGGCATGCTATCACTCACTTCAAAAGAGATCTCCAATGAAAAGCAGGGCATACGTTAGATTCAGCCTCTATCGCGGCGACATACACACCGTACAATAAACGCTGAAATTTCCTTGCGAAAAGAAATGGCAAAAAGATACGCAGGTCGCGTTTTTCCGCTTTCGCTCTTTTTTTGTTATAACGTCATTTGTCGTTGAACTTTCTTGGTATAGCAACCCATATACTGCTAGACTCATGCTGTCGAATCGTCACTAAGTAGCATCTAGAAAAAACTTGAAAAAAATGTCGACAAATTGAACTGTGTCCTCATCGACGAGGCCTGAGACACCCCCGTTAGCGAGCGAGTCTCCAATATATTGTAACAAAGACAAAACGTTGGGAATTAATCTTGTGGCAGATCATAGTGACTGCATCGCTAGAGAAGTAAATCAAAAAACTAGATAGGTGTGTTTCCCCAAATGCTGCTGCATTGGTGCCCATTTTCCAAAAAAATGAACGGGTTTCGCTTCGATCTCACTTCGCGACGAATATCCTTTTCAGTCCAGGAAAATCGCGAAGTGTGGTTAGTTCGCGACCACATGAGCACACGTGCCTAATGTATGGATCCCTGTTTTCCTTAATGTTCGTGACTTTCAAGAATGAAGTCGAAAAGAAGGGTTTTTTCAACACTTGTAATGGGCACTCCGTGCGATCCTAGAACAATTGCTCGATTTTCAGCGTTTCCAAACAGGGTTTCCAGCGCTCTGAGTGGCTCTACGAGTTCCATAAGGGAGCTTTATACAGTACGCCCTGTGCTTTCAGACAACTTAGGGGAAAGTAGCGGCATATTTTAGGCTGGGGGCAGTGTATCGGGTGCCAACTCCAGACCATTTCAAAGAATTTCACATGGTTTTCACTAATTTGCAAATTCCAGTCTAAGTTACACCATTCAAATCCCTATGAAAAATGCTATTCATTTATATGAAAATCACCTCGTGGAACTTTCTACAACCTTTTTCGGCGATGCGATAAACATTAGCGAGGACGACTGCGCTAAACAGGTACTACGGCAGATACCGTTTTTACACGGGCATCTGCCTGTTACGCATACGACCTACCTAAGTAGTTATCAACATGTGCAGAGCACTGCAATCGATCAATCTTAGATAATCTTCATCGACAACGTGTCTGTTCTGTCAACTATTTCGCAAATGTTTTGTGGGGACTGCCGCTCTAGAGAATGTTTCTCTTATTTCAAATTTGAGTTTTCATCAAAATTTTAAAATTTCGTATTTCGAATTACAAGCTCTTCCATTTAATTTATCTTCGTTTCTCATAACACCTCTGCGTAACAAACGGGGATGCGGACCAGATTTTTCTAAGCTCTACATGCTTCAACGTTCATTCGTTATAAGGCTTTGGCATTAAAAGCTCTCTAAAAATCTCTCCGATGTCACCCTGACTTTCGAAATAGAATCATAAGACAAAATTGTGTAGGAATACTTATTCCGATCCTCGCATTAGGACCGTAATTCATGCAAACAAGTTGTAAATGCTCGAGCAACATTCGGCTTAGTATCATTGACTCGATGTGCGAAAAAGGTCTAAGGTATTAGCGGACATTTACCGCGAGCGTCGACACTGCGCATCGGCTGAGGTCTTCGTAAAGCGATAACAGGATAAATAACTAACAAATATACTTTGTATGTGTGTGGAAACGGTAGTTAACCCAGGATTAAGATCCAGGTAAACTTTAAGTACAAAAACATAATTTCGCATACCCGGACCAGACACGTGAGCAATTGATAATTCTGTACATCGTGAAACCATTCGATTGTCTTCAGGTACAAGAATTTGGTTGGACGATTCATAGTAACACTCCATGATCTGCTGGATCATGGAGAGTTACTAGGACAACGAATGTTGATTCATGATGGAAGAGCTGTGGCTTACGAATACGAAATTTTCAGAATTTTGATGAAAACTCAAATTTGAAATAATAGAAACATTCTCTAGAGCGGCAGTCCTCACAAAACATTTGCGAAATAGTTGACAGAACAGACCACGGTGGTCTCGAGGTAGAAATACTAAGATTGATCGATGCATGCCGCTGACACATTGGTGGGATACACTATTAGGAGGCGATGCGCTAACAGGGCCAGATAGTCGTGAAAAACGGGAATAGTTTGTAGAAAGTTACGATGGTGATTGTTCATATAAATGTAATAGCATTTTTCATAGATGTTGAATGATTATAACTTAGAACTGGAATTTTACAATTATTGAAAAACGTAAATTTGCTTATGAAATCGGTCTCGGAGCTTTGCGCCCCGATAAACAACGCCCAGCCTAAATATGCGCTAACTTTCCCTAAGTTGTCTGAAAAGCACAGGGGTTACTGCCTATAAGCCTCAGTTATGGAACTCGTTAGAGCACCGACGCTGAAACCCTGTTTGAAACGCTGGAAACATCGGAGCAAGTTGCTTCTGGATACGACGGGCAGTGCCCATTACAAGTTTGAAAAAACCCTTCTTTTCGACCTCTCCTTCTATGAAAGTCACGAAAATTAAGGAAAACGTTCATACATTAGGCATGTTGTGCTCATGGTGGTCGAATAAAACCACAGCTCGAGATTTTCCGGACTGAAAAGGCTATATCGTCCGGAAGTGAGATCGAGCGAAACCCCTCAATTTTCGGGAAAATGGGCACCAAAATGATCAGCAGCATTTGGACAAACTATCTAGTTTGCATTAATTCTCACGCGATGCAGTTACAACTATTTACTCTCACAATGAATTGTAATTCCCAATCGTTTGATCACTGGGTGTACAATTATAGCGAGACATCAGCTCGCTACACGGTGTCTCAGACTTCTAAGAGCACAGTTCAATTTTCGACTTTTTCAGTTTTTTAGGATGCCAGCTTATAGAAATCGACGAGCTGAGTCTAGCAGTATAGGGTTCTATACAAGAAAAGTTCACACACAAATTGAGTTATCAACAAAAAAAAGAGGCCGAAGGCGGAAAAAAACGCGGACTAGCGGTTTCTTGCTTTACTTTCCACAGGAAATTTCAAGCGGTTATTTGTACGTTGGATTCGTCAGCCGTATGAGCTGATCTGAACGCGTTATGCCTGGCTTTCATTTGAGCTCTTTTGAAAGGATAGCAGTGCGGCGCTTTGCGGCGGTTTGCGGCGGTTTCCGGCGGATTAATCCGCCTTTTTTCCAAAAATTAGGGCGTTTTAGCTAGCGTTTCCAGCGCTATGACATGCTCATGGTAATTTGACACACGTTGGTTCAATGGATCAGCTCCGTCAGTCTGACAAAATACCGTAATATATCGAGGATAAGTCATACAAAGAACTTTACCTTTCTCTGATGTTTTGTTTCTTCCTCTATGGAGCTCGAAAGCTTGCTCAGTAGGAAGAATACCATTACGGATAGCATGACCGCAGAAGTAAAAAGTAAAATGCTAGACAATTTCAAGTTATTATGTTGTGAAAATCATTTTTAGATGTTGTCACTAACCGTCCATGACCAATTCCGTAGTCTTCGCCTATCAATTATCCGACCGTGCCTTAGAACAAATTTCACTTGATCTATAAAACTCTTTTCCCGCGGTGATTCTGGCGACGAGGGAGGGGCATTTTTCACTTCGCTCACTTTCCGTCGACATATCGACCATCTGAAGCAGCCTACTTCTCGAAGTTGACATGTTTAACAGGATAGGCTTGCCAGCTTTCAAGAGCTCACAGGTTCCCAGAGTGCAGACTTGTATGCCGGACGCGGGCCATCAGTTTTGGTTGGGATTTTTAGTCGAAGACACCCCCCCCACCCTCCGGCCCTCTGTTCCTCCTCATCGAATCGAGCCGTCGAGCGGAAGGGGGGGGGGGGGAGGCATATAGTACGCATGAAACAGGAAAATCATAAAAGTCAACCACCACTCCTACAACGCCAAAACGTAAATACGACCCCCCCCTTTACAACGTCCGTGAAGCGAGAAAAATTAACAATCAAAATAAATTTTTCCCAGCCCAAACGACTCTGCTATCTGCGGCTTCCCACAACGCGTATGCCTCGCATGCGTCAAGGAAGTGAGCAATGAAACGTGCATAATGCCTGCTCCCTCCGGGGCCGACTTCTCCTTTTCTTCACCCTTCTTACAGATTAGGATGATCATCCATTACAATTTTTATCTCAAAATTCTAGACTAAATTTCCAGAGCCTCGTAGGATCCTAATTTGTTTCGCGAAAGTTCTCAAAAAACTCGGTCAATCAGTTCTGAATGCCATTACCTGGGAATCATGCTTCAGCAATCGTTGAAACATGAATCATGTTTCATTAGCATCTCGCTGCTAGCCAGCATCGTTGGCTCTCCCATACCATTCAAACAAGTAATAATGAGAATACAACAGCCGTCCAGAAGTGATCGGTAAGCGAGTACAGGGACTGGAGTCTTTAGACCGTGAGATTTCTTTTGGACGCTATTCGGGTCACGGCGAGATCCCAATCGGAGTACACGTCACACGCCCTACGAAAGAAGCGTCCAAGATGGATGTTGTAGTGCACAGCGTTAGCGCTAGGAGATTGTAGTGATGTAATCCACTTCTAGACTAGTTACATTTGAAGCTGCTTGAGCTAATTCCGTAGGACAACTCACGGTTCGAATTTATGTTGCTGTGGAGGATGTGTAACGTTCGGAAGCGGTTTCGTTGGCTGCCCGTCGACTTCACGATGAGTATAAATCCAGTCTGAACGCGAAATACAAGCTAAGGTAATCGATTACGGACCAAGTGATAAAAAGGATAAAGTCTTCGCCGTTGATCAATCCCTTTGTGGGATGCGGCACGCATTCTACTTCCATTCAGAATCGTAGTGGCTTATTGAATGCGATGTGGCCTATACAATGACTTGCGGTGGCCAGCCGATGTACAAGTCAGTGTTTTATCCTCCCAGACGAATCTGGTACCAATTTACCGTCCCCGGAGGGTAGAAGGCTTGGTTGGCCTGGGCGGGTGTCGACCCGGGATTCGAACCCGGCGCCGCGCGAGTGGTAAGCGCGCCACGTTGATATCAAGTAGATTTTGCTGGGATGGGCCCTCCCACACGATGACTCCGCCCCTCCCCTCTACAATTTCTCGCCACTCGATCGAATGAGAAATAACAGAGGCAAAAATTGGGTTATATAATGAGCTCACAGCGACAGAAAATTGCGCCACTTTTTTGACAGATCGCGAAAAAATAGGTCCTTATTTCAAACGGGTATCACAATTTTCTTTGGTTTTCTTCACGACCAGTCGGCAATTGGTGCCTTTGTGTAACAAGATTCTGATTACATGGCAAGAATCAGGACTACCCTTATGCTTTCCTCAGTGTGCCGCTCCTGCTCACCCTTACGGGGAGAGCTGCGCAAGTGGCCCATAAAATGATCGCTGTGGAGTGTCTTTAGAGTTGAGGCCTTACAAACCACCCTATCATGGGTCTGTTTCTAGCGTAGATCATTGATAATCCTTAATTTCTCCCGATTAACTTGCGATCTCAGGAGCAGGGCTCCGATCAAATTAGCCTTAATGGGTTCACCTACTTCTTGAATTGGCTTATTGCAGACTACTTCGTGGATAAGGGGGGGACTAGTTTGTGCCAGGGCGTTATAGACTTTGTATCCAATGTTTGTTCAACCTAAGACGTCACCCTAAACTAACCTGGTGGCGATCCTACTGTGAAGTTCAGCTGTGTCTCGGGACCGTAACCTTTTGAAGTTCTCGCACTTATGAAGATCTAAATGAAGCTTCATCTACGGAAGAATCCTTATGTCAACCGTTTCGAAGCACCTTCGTTTTGTGAAAAAAATGTCACTGTTCATTGTTAAAGGCAGGGTCTCGATTAATCGTACAGAATCTTTCCTTCGCACGAGGTGGTCGTGGTCCGCAGTTGCGAGAAGTAGCCCACTTTAGCGACTCAAACATTTTCGATAAGAAAGCCACGTTTCTCTAAGTATTGGGTTGGCACATAAGTACTTTCGTTTTTTTCAACCGGAAATTTCGTTCCAAAGATGAAATGTTTTGCTAGCAAGCTTGATATCATCTGATAGGAAACTTCACGTAGTTTTAGAATATCAAAACGGCTTCGGTTGAGGGAATAATTTTTGTGGATTTTTTAGTCGTTGAAGTTGAAAGCGAAGTCGGCGAAAATTAGCACCTTCGACAACTGCCTCTATTTACGTCTACTCGAAGTGCTAAAATCGCTTAAGCTGCTCCACATTTGGAAAAGGTCGAGCTAGAAGTTCCAGCAAGGGAATCTCACTAGGACGCTTTGGAACGAATTTCAAGAATTTTGAAGTTACCAACCTTCACCTCGCCGATATTGGGCAGCTCACGTCTGTTCCACCTGAAATTTTATGCTAATATTTGAATGTTTCGCTGATATGTTTTGCATGTTCTGATAGCAAATTTCGTGCTCTATAACACTGCTATAAAATCTGTTCTCCAGAGGTGTTTGCTTTCTGTTAAGTTCAGGTTATCATTACGGAACGCGAAGTCGTTGAGAACTAGCGTTCCCGTTCTCCACGAATTTTTATGCTAACATTTGAATGTTTCGCTAATGTGTTCTATATGTTCTGATAGCCAATTTCGTGCTCTATAACATAACATAAAAATCAGTTTTCCGGAGCTGTTTACTTTCTGTTAAGTTCAGGTTATCTTTACGGAACGTGAGGTCGATGAGAATTAGAGTTCCCGACTTCCTCTCTCAACCGCTGTCCACTGAAGCTTCAAAGCTCCTAGAGCAGCTCAATAGAATCGCCATGGTTTGAGTAAGGCTTAGAGTAACAGATTAGTGTTAGGACAGCTCTTAGCGAATTTCCCGAGCAGCATCAGCAGCTCTGATACCTCTGTTGAATGCGAAAAGGAGGAGATGTCTGAAGTGCTGATGCTTATCGACCTGACATTCCATATTATCCACCTGAAAACAAGGTTCATCAAACGGATTTTCAAAATAACTGCAACGCAGTGTTATAGAGCACGAAATTGGCTATCAGAACATATAGAACACATTAGCGAAACATTCAAATGTTAGCATAAAATTCGTGGAGAACGGGAACGCTAGTTCTCAACGACTTCGCGTTCCGTAATGATAACCTGAACTTAACAGAAAGCAAACACCTCTGGAGAACAGATTTCTATAGCAGTGTTATAGAGCACGAAATTTGCTATCAGAACATGCAAAACATATCAGCGAAACATTCAAATATTAGCATAAAATTTCAGGTGGAACAGACGTGAGCTGCCCAATATCGGCGAGGTGAAGGTTGGTAACTTCAAAATTCTTGAAATTCGTTCCAAAGCGTCCTAGTGAGATTCCCTTGCTGGAACTTCTAGCTCGACCTTTTCCAAATGTATGGAGCAGCTTAAGCGATTTTAGCACTTCGACTATACGTAAATAGAGGCAGTTGTCGAAGGTGCTAATTTTCGCCGACTTCGCTTTCAACTTCAACGACTAAAAAATCCACAAAAATTATTCCCTCAACCAAAGCCGTTTTGATATTCTAAAACTACGTGAAGTTTCCTATCAGATGATATCAAGCTTGCTAGCAAAACATTTCATCTTTGGAACGAAAATTTCCGGTTGAAAAAAACGAAAGTACTTATGTGCCAACCCAATACTTTATGTGCCAACCCAATACAAGCAGGCTCCGCCCTCGCAGTCGTGCTGCTCCGCCATTATCATTAGCTACCACTGTCACAAAGCGATGGGGTCTCGACCATTTGTGTAATCTCTCGCCATGACGTCTCCTGTTTCTCTTTTCCACGCTCAATGTCTCTTCACCGCATGCTCACATAAAGTTTCGAACCAACAGAAATCTTATTTGTTGGAGAACTTTGACATTCGCATTTGAATTCTACAACCCACGAAGGACTCTGCCCTCATCGACGGTTATCACCACCCCAACAAAAACTGAAATTGTGTTGGGAGCGGTGATGTTGATGATAAGTTGAAATTGTGTTACCTGATATGTTGTGTTATGAGAAAACGCCATCAACTTGTAAGATTCCTCGCACTGCTCTACCTCGAAGAGAGTGCATTTTGATTCCGAGGTTTTCCATCGAATCTGCAAAATTTGCTTATCCCGAGAAGTATTGAAGTTGTTCTGGCGATGTAGTGAACCTCATATTTGAAAAGTGATTCTATGAGCATATTGAAAGGAAGCGAAATCCAAAAAAAAAAAATATGAAGCTGAAGCGTAGAGCTGGATGACGACCACGGATTATGGAAGGTGATTACCACGATTCAAAATCCCATCTCGAAGGTGAAACCCTGCAGGTTCTTACCTATCCACTAGCGGTTGGGAATCGCTCATTGGCTTCATGTGCGAAGGCACACGTAACAATCATAGTATTTCGAGGTTGTTGACACACAGCAGGTAAAAATATGAGGTCACATTTTGAATACCGCGGACAAGACCCCATTTGCAGCGCGTTTCACAGCACCCTCGTCGCGATACGGAACAAGCTACCCACACCACCGGCGTTTGCCACCGTGCTATTACAGTACCTCGCACACGCACTCATAAATTACACTAAAAAACATGTCGCAAAGACCATCGCCATCAGGGCACGCCGTACGTCCCACCGTATTTATTCACTGGAGAGAGAGTGGTCGTACTTCGCGTGGCTAAGCTAGTCTCCGGGAAGGAACTGTTGGGCCAGAGGTGTGCTGCTGGTAAGCCGGCAGAGCTCGTGAACTACCGATTAGTAATGGTGAAGGGCTAGCAGGGCGGCTGCTCGATCTTCGACAGTCTGCAACGATCGGCGGGAGGCTGTCCTGGCTGGCTCCTATTCACGCTCCGTCATACGCCCTATCTCTTGCAGAAATCACGGCTATATGTAATGTGGGTGAAGCTCACTACATCCGAAGTGGGATGAGGAAAGAGCCTGCAGTGGTGTGGTGTAAATTTCGAGAAATCTTAACAAAATCCCCCTTTTATGATTTCTACACATGTGCAGGATGCACCTTAAACCGAAAAAGTAAATTACCTTATATCCAGCGATAACACCGTTGGGTTCTTCGGGGGTTGACCATTTTACGTCAAGTGTAGCGTGGTTTTCCTGCAACGAAATACTTAATGATTCTTGGTCAATTGAGTACAAAAGCGCGCTTTGCGCGTTTCTAGCCATGGCAGCGCTTTGGGTGTTTTGAAGTTTTCAGCGACTAGTGGAACCAACCTAACGCTCTCAGCGTACGCTGATGTAGTAACTCTGAGGTTACGGCTGAGTGGAACAACCCCTTCCGTGGGTAAGGTAGGCCTATCAGACATCGAAATGATGCAATGCTGGTACTGGAGCCGAATTATTTATGAGAGATTAAAGGCTTATAAATCGTTGAGTGCAAACTTTGATAAGCATATCCAAAGACACGCCGCACCTGCTCACCTTTTCCATGCCTGAGGAGGGCAGGCCCACAGCTATAGAATGGTGCCACCCTTACTGCTTGGAATTTGATGATAGTAAAGCTGGATTTTTTTTGTTTTCTTCAACTATTCAAAACCTGGTAGACATACCGCACATTAAGGACCTGCTGCCAACGAATTCTCTGCAAGTCTCGGGCGAGGTCACACAGCGAAGGTTTTGGCACGCTGCCAAAGCCGAGCTACAAGGAACAGTGGGGGCCCCCTGCTAAACAGAAGGTGCAGATAGTAGTGCTTCTGGCTCTAGACGTACGGTCCTGTAATGTCTAAGGAGTGTTTTGCATAGGGGTGGAGACGTAAAGGCCAGCTACCGGAAACCTTCCAGCTTCACTGTCACGTACTTCCAAGTGGCGAAATATAAGTTTCTGCCACTTGCCCCCCCCCTCATCCATGGAGAAGATCAACTTCGCAGATAAGCGTGCAATGTGTTACTGGAAGTATGAAAGGTCACCGATTGTGTTGGCGATAGCTTGACTTTGGCATTAGCAACTTCGTTTGGCACTGATTCCCCTATGAATATTGCAGATTCTTCCGTGGAACCCTTTTCCGTAGCATTTTCCATCAGTTCAAACTCCAGTTTCAGAGCATACAGCTCTGAAATGTTTTTTTATAAAAAGTGCTCAGCTCTTAACCAAACTTTCCAGTGATTACCAGAATATGCCGGTAGTTCGATCGTGATCGGGAACTTTTTGTCCTGAGAAGTGAACGACATGTTCTGAGATAACGAGGTTGATAGACGTCGGATGATGAGCTGAAAAAAAGTAAAAAATTGTCTGAAGAAGTACTGTTGTAATTTGTGAAGGCACATTCCATGATAAGGGGAATAAACAGTTTCCCATGGCTAAGGTAGACTGATACACGACAGCAGAGATAGTTCGATTGCTGATCTCCAACTACATTCATTTTTTCAAAAGCAAGTGGCACAATAAATCCCCAGGACATGTAGGATTAATACACCTAGCAGGACTGAACTCGGCGCGTTTTAGCAAGCGCTGCGTGGCGCCAGGAACGTACCCTTATAGCGCCCCATCAAGCTGCAACATACCGACCCGGACGCCCACCGCGCCCGCCGCCCACAAATGTCCGACCGATGCTGATGCTCGTATCGCTTCATTTGCGAAGTACAATATGAAGCGAAGGGATTGATATGAAGCGGCGCGGTGCTGCATGGATATATGAGTACATACGTGCAGCCGTATCTACCGTAGCGGTTATTGGCACGATGCCTGCGGGAAACTCGTCCGAAATTGCTTTCTGAGTCATGTACAGTTCTCATCATTACGGACTGTCGGGGCG